CAGCGGCGGACCACTCGCCTCCAGCCCCCACGCCAGACGCAGGGCAGGGACTTTGGGGCAAAGTGGGCAAAACTGGCCACCCCAGACTCGGGAAGTTGCCGCTTCTGCCTGTCCCACTCCATGTGGCCCTGGTGGCTTTGCAGTCCATAGGGTGCCTCATCGGCGCAGCCAACCCCCACCTCTCCACTTCCAGGACCCGTTCCAGCCCCGGGCAGGTGGCAGGCAGGGGCGGAGAGGCCCGGCCTGTGACAGGCAGACAGGCCTTGCAGCACCTGATCCCGGCACCTGGCACCTCCACTCTCCATTGTCTTGGCACAGGGTACCTGCCAGGATCACAGTGTCCCAGACACTTGCAAAGGACTCAGGGCCGTCCCAAGGGTGGGCAGGCTGATCAGAACTCGAGATGGGTGGTGTCCCCGCCTCGGGGTCTGGCACAGTCTCAGGGGCCGGGAGAGGGTGCCATGTATTTCTGAGCAGGACTTTGCAGGGTGGGGGCCCAGGAGGGAGTAGGGAGAGAGCCGCTCTCTGAGAAGGCGTGAGGGGGCCCAGGTTTTGTGACAAAGTCCTGCCCCCGACTCTAAGCCGCACGAGGACAGGAGCGGCGTCTCTCTCGTTGACCGCAGGCTCCCTGGCGCCCAGCACAGCTCCTGGCAAGAAGCCTGCGCTGAATAAGTAACTGACCGCAGAGAGCGGGCGGGCTGCAGTCCAAGTCGGTTTTACAATTCCTGCAGTCCGCTGTTGGCCAACCCCTCAACCCGCACACCCACCCTCACTCACCCACACACTCACAGGCACAGGAAAACACACAACGTAGCACGAAGAGTCATCAGAAGAAGATTGCCGTGAATGGTTGTTTACAGTTACTGGATGCTTCTCAGCCTTCACTTGCTCGGGCTGCAGCGGGTACATCAGGATTTCTGGTGCAAACCAGCAAAAAGCATGTAGGATGCTCGAGGGGCTGCTGGACACGAAGGGGCTGCTGGACGCGAAGTCGCCAGACGGGGCTAGGCCGGGGCTAGCTCGTGCGAGGTGGGCAATTGCAGCCTCCTCTCCAAGGCAGGACAATCCCAGGTGAGCAAGCTCCACACCTGCACGGACAACCCCCTCCCTCCCGCCCGCCGCCAGCAGGGCTCCGCTTCCTGTCCAGGGAAGCCGGGCGTGGAGGGGATTCCAAATTCGCAACAGTCACCCCTCTCCCCTCCAGATTCTTTCACATCTTAGGAACCGACGTTCGCACAACACCTGTGACTTGTGCAAAGCTCCTTTCTGTTCATTATCGTGTTGGATGGATCATCACGATATCAGCCCCAGAGGGAAAGCCATCACCCTGTTCTGCAGTAGGAAGCGCAGGCCCAGAGAGGTCCCGGCTTCCAGTGGCCAAGTTGGTAGCAGAGTCAGGACTCAGATGCCCGGCTCCCCCCCAGTATGCGGCCTCCCGGCCTCCCCATGAGTCAGCTGTCACGAGTTCTGGGCCCTGCACCTCCGGTCCCCTCACAGCCACCAAGTGCCTAATCCCGGGACCCTGAGTACAGCCAGGACGAGTGGCCCCCCGGTTCACATGTTGCTGCTTCTCTCTGCCAGGACCTGCGCTCTTTCCCTGAGAGCCATTCCCCTCTGACTCCCACCCCGACACACACTCTGTTCACATCGCACTAAGTTGGAAACAACCAAAGAAAATGGTTAAGCAAACTCCTACGGCAACGTGAGCGAACACGCGGGACATGCTGACGGCTGGCAGGTAAGGGACCTCGCTCGGTGTGGGATGCTGTGTTTTGAAACATTGTGATTTGATTAAAGCAGAACACGAACACATGCTCATCACAGGTGTGCCAAAGTGCGCGCCTGCAAGCTGGTAAGAGCCAGAAGTGCGCTGAGAGACGTGAAGAGATTGTTATCTACGTGGGGCTTTCTTTTCCTATAAAGATTATGCTCAAAACAACCAAAAGCAGCAAAATAAATAAATGTGATCATAATAAGCAGAGGAGGAAGAGTCTGTCTCGGTCCCCAGAGGACCACCCCTCTTCTGGAAAGGGCTGGAGTTGCAGGGCGCAGACGGGATGGGTGGGAGCCTGGAAGTGGGGAGTCGGGGAGCTGTGGGAAGGAGGAGGCAGGCCCACCCAGGGGAGCAGCGCCCAGAGCTGCAGAGGTGCAGCTGGGAGCATCGCCCCGGGGAGCCCCTGGGGGCCCGTGGGCCAGATGAGCAATGTGGATGGTGCCTCCCTGAGCTGTGCATCGTGGTGGTTCTAGGACACCTTGCATCTCAGAGGACCAACACGGGACCCGGCCTACAGGAGGGGGTGGCCTGCAGAGAGAGCGCCGCCTTGCTCTGGGGGATGCCAGCCTGCAGGGAGCAGGCGGGTGTGAAAGGCGCCAACCGAGGCTCCCCTGGGACCCGGGGACAGTGCACTTCACAGACAGACCACACTCAAGGCGTCTCCGCTGACTCCTTATCTCGGCGGCCCTCCACCCTGCCCTGCTCCCCTCCCGTGCTCCCCGTCCTGGCGGCTGGCACCACCACTCCCCACGGCTTCCCAGGCTGCGGGCCCTGGCCCTGGCCCTGCCTCTGGCTCTCACTCCGCCCTGCTTCGCACCCTGTGCCACACCCGCCCTGAGATATTCACAGTTCCCGGAAGATGCCAAGCTGTGTTGCTGCCCTGCCTTTTCCCATGCTCTTCCTTCCACCCAGGATCCGTCTCTACCTTGTCCGGCTGCTCATCTGTCAAGAGTCAGCTTAAGCAGCGTCGCCCTCTGTGAACCCTTTCTGCTCATCCCTTCCTCCCCGCCCCGCCCACCCCACCCTGCCCTGCCTGCCCTCTGTGCCCAGGCAGACAGACAGCACCACCTCACTGGTCTCCACAGCCCCATATCCAGCACTGCTCTTGCGCATTTGGTACATATTTTATGAAGTAAATAAACAAACAAACAAACAACAACAACAACAAAATGAGTGTGGCCCAGCTGGCATGGCTCAGTGATTGAGCATCGACCTATGAACCAGGAGGTCAAGGTCCGATTCCTGGTCAGGGCACAGGCCTGGGTTGCGGGTTCCATCCCCAGTGTGGGGCATGCAGCAGGCAGCAGATCAATGATTCTCATCACTGATGTTTCTCTCTCTCCCTCTCCCTTCCTCTCTGAAACAATAATCCTATATAATAAAAGCCTAATATGCTAAGTGTCCGTTGGCAGGTCAGCCATTCAAACAATCAAAGTATACTATGCTAATGATATGCTAAGGCCACTCAACTGCTCACTATGACATGCACTGACCACCAGGGGGCAGACAGTCAACTGGGAAGTTAGCTTGCTGCTGGGGTCCCGCCCATTGGGGACTGAGCGAGATGGGCCGGACGCACCCTGGAGCCCTCCGTGGTCCCTCCCGCGGTCTCTCCCCGGCTGGCCAACCTCCCGTGTCCCTCCCCTGCCCCAATTGTGCACCGGTGGGGTCCCTTGGCCTGGCCTGTGCCCTCTCACAGTCCAGGCTGAGGGACCCCCCCCCTCCAATGCATGAATTTTGTGCACTGGGCCTCTGGTAATAATAATAAAAAAATAATGCCAAGGGCACTTTTGGGGGAGACAAAAGAGTGAATTTGATTAAGGAAACCAAGCCCATACGTGCCACCACATTTCTGGTGACATTTTCCAAGTCACCTCTACTTTCAGGCTACTCCTTCCTAGAGTAGGGTCCCCTCTGGTCTCGAAGGCCTGCGGAGCGCCCCCGCCACACACACACACACACACACACACACACACACACACCACAGGCCCACCGACCCTCTCCGGCCCCTGGTCTCTGATCCGTGTGCAGCCCCTTGGCTGGGTGCGCGGGGTCATCCAGGAGTCGTGGCGGTGGGATGAGATGCTTCTCACGGGCGTTATGTCATCCCGCTCTCAGGCGGGGCGAGCCCTTTGATCTCCGGCCCACACGTGGCAGCGGGTGGCAGCCACCCATGTCCTCCGCAGCAGGCTGGTTTCCAGGAATGCCTTTGGCCCTGGCCTGCGTCCCTCCAGCCTTCCAGTGAGAGCACTCCCCATGCCCGAGGTCAGCCGCCCAGCCTCCCCTGGGCCCGGCGCTCAGGAAAGTGGAGTCGAACCTGTTGGCCACCTTCTTGGCTCAGACTGTAAAGGCGCTGCTTCCGCGAGGCTGGCCCCGTCTCCTGTCCTCAGCGGCAGCCTCACTGTGGGCCTGGGGGTGGGGAAACCCGGGACTGGGTTCAGGGGTGAAAGAGAGGCTAGATCTCGCTGTCTGAATGCTAACCTCTCTGACAATGGGAATTTAAAAATATATATTTTTACTGATTTCAGAGAGGAAGGGAGAGGGAGAGAGAGAGAGAGAGAGAGAGAAAGAAACTCAATGGTGAGAGAGAATCATTCATTGATTGGCTGCCTCATGCAGGCCCCCCACTGGGATTTGAGCCCGCAACCCGGGCATGTACCTTGACAGGGAATCGAACCCTGACCTCTTGGTTCATGGGTCGATGCTCAACCATTGAGCCACGCTGCCCGGGTGACAATGGGAATTTAAAAAATCAAATCCAAAGGGCAGGCTCACGGATGCATTTATTTATTTTCTGAAATAAGCTAACTTAAGCCGCGTGCTTTCCTCTTTAAAGGATGTGGAGTTTTGCCTCTATTCCAACTGGCTCTGCCTCTGCTCTCTGGCCTCTGACGACAGTCCAGGCAAACGCACAGAAGGAAAGCTACTTCGGGCCGCACGCCAGTGTCCTGGGTGGGCAGGTGTGGCTCCTGGCCCCAGGCGGGAGGTGAGGGGAAAGGTGCACGGATCTGGCATGCTGGTGCCCCCCCCCCACCCCCACCCCCCGTCCCTCCTGCTATGGAACAGCTCTGAGAGGGAAGTCCAGGGGCTTAAAAGAGCGGGCAGAGGAGAGAATCTAGCAGTTCGGGACCAGGATGCGCAGAATCGCACATCCTCCCAGGCACTTCCACGGGCCAGGCCGCTTCAAACAGAGGCCTCCTGGGGCTGGGTGGTGGGAACTCGGGCCTCTCTGACTAAGACTTCTGGGGCCCAGAGGCAAGTATTTCACACTCTTCCCAACCTTGAACATAAACCAGTGGGGAAAGGGTCGCTTCAAACCACAACTTCTTTCTGGAAAGAGAGACCTAGTGAGATTCTGGATATAAAAAGGTGGACTTGGGGGGCAGAGTGTGTGTGTGAGTGTGTGTGTGTGTCTTGGCGGAGGGGGGGGTAGTGATTTAGGAAAAAACAATGGAAAGACTTGAACTCTCAGCACAGTAGAGAGGAAACTGGCTTCCCAGAGTTGATCAAGGAAGGGCGGTGGGGTGGAGGGTGGGAAGGGTGTCCCAGGGGTGAGTTCGGTGGGACGCAGCGGGCCAGGGAGCTTCGTGGCGTGGTGTGCCCAGTGAGAAATCCCAGGTGACTGGAGAGCCAAAATAACTTTTCAGAACATTTCAGAAATGTGACTTTAAATTGTTTGCTGTGTGATGTAATCCCTCCCCTGTGGCCAACAAATTTTCATTAAAAGTTCTGCTCCATGTTACAGCACTATTTTTGTAGTTGTTTTGGAATCGGGGTGGGGGCTGGAAGGAACAGGGGCTGTGTTCCCTCTGCGAATTGATGGCAGGAACTAAAGAAACAGCCACAAGACCAGAATACTGAACAAGGCTTCGACGAGGCAGAAAACTAGAGCCAGAGGTAACCACGAACTCAAAGTCCCCCCAGCCACTCACAGAAATCCTGGGAGGGCATTGGACTTCCCACAGGACAAGGGAGTTCGAGCCAATGTCATCTGAATCTCAAAGGAC